GTTGACGTCATTTCCTGCAACTCTCTTGGGTGTGCACTTGCTGATATTTTTTATAATGGCCTCACAACTAGCAATTCCCAACAAGAAGAGATCAGTTATTTAATTTTCCCCTCCAACAGATTTTAAATCCTTCAGTTTTTTTCGTTCTAACTTTAGCTGTTAGTATTCGAAACCACGCTTGTGCATATTCGTAAGATAATTGTTCGTTCGGTACTTTAGATATCGCCAACGTCATTGTAGTATAGTGTTACTGAGTCACAGGAAGTAGTATGCACTCAACTGTCTCATGGGTAATAGCCGTAGTTATTTAGAGATCTTTGTGACTTCGTATGTAAATAAGTCACCACAAATATTATAATCAAGATGTTGCTTTTCCACTTGATATTAAAAGGTTACAAAAAAAAAACCTTCTCATCAATATTAGAAAGATTGAGGACAGTAGACATAAGAGTGAGAGGTCCCCGACACTGTTTTTAAAATGCATAAGAAAGATTTCTAAATATGCTACCAGGAGAAAAAAGTTGTATATATATATATATATATATATATATATATATATATATATATATATAGTCGACTCTCCGTCGAGATTCGACGTATGAGGTTCAAGCAGATCAGTTTCCAGGAAACCGACAGCCAGACACCGACACATGAGATTTGATTATAGTGGTGAAGGCTTCGTGCAGGACCATCACACTTTTTGAAGGGACGAATACAGAGGCCTGGTGCACCGAATGCCACAAGGTTCCCAAACGACCCTCTGCAGGTTTTGAATTCAGTGTTGTCCTTCTCCTAGACCAGTTACCATCCAACGCTATAGAACCCAGTCTATCCTGCTATTTTACCCATAGCACAGTGGAGTAATGGATAGTGGCTTGGATTGGGGAATCGCAGAGCCGAGTTCGAATTCCAGTCGAATCCATTACATTCACTTACGTGCTAATACACTTGGGAAAGGTGTGAATCCTCTTCTTCTCCCTGCAGCTATATATATATATATATATATATATATATATATATATATAAAGCGCTGTGTTCGTATGCCCGTCTGTACGCCCGTCCGTCCGTTTTCGATCTGGACTAACGTGGGGTGACTCAAAATTAAATAAATTAGTCATTTAGAGTTAAATTTAAATATCGAGCAGCGTGAAAGGTTTCAGAAAATTGTTTATTGAGTTGAGTGCATACTACTTCCTGTGACTCAGTAACACTCTACCACAATGGCGTTGCCGACATCTAAAGAAACAAATGGACAATTATCTCTTGATAATTACGAATACGCACAAGCGTGGTTTCGGACAGCTAACAGCTAATGTCTTTTAAGAGTGGCTTTATGTGAATTGATCATAAAGAAATGTAAACAAACTACGCATATCGGTTGCGTATACGAAGAAAGATTATGCCAAATGAAAGTGTCGAATAAAGATAAAATAATTCTATTTCAAAATTCTTATAACTTTTATGTACATATGACATTGAAGGTAAAAAGCCGAAGCCCCCACCCCCCGCAGGTTCTAGACTAAAGACCATCCGAAGGTTGCCTTCTAGTCTAAAACATAATTAAAATACAAGATTTTTTTTCGTAATATATATTTTATAATATATCGTTGATAAGCAACTGAAGGCAGATTTGATTAAATCTTAATCAACGCCATTATTGACGTCAGGTATAATTAAACACATTTAATTAGAGGATTTTTTTTAAAAACCTTTTGTATCTGGTCTTGAAGATTTTGATCAGGGGTGTATTTCCATCTCAAATGATATCATTTTTTTTTTTAACAATGTACTTTCGAACTCGTTCTTTTGATGATCTGGCCAGATGCGGTCTAATTTAAAAAATAAAAACGTTCATGCTTTTTGAAGCAACAATTATCGAAGTTTCCATCTAACCTAACCAAACTGCAATCATATCGACATTAGATAAGTGCACGCCGATGATTACTTTTCCTCGCTACGATGCCATTCGCAGATGCTGGCCAAATTCCTAAGAAATTGGTAAAGTTGTTATTTCGCGTAATCTCTTCTTTTGCCGGTGGGTCTTAGTGCAAAATAAACAGCTCGAAGCCGGCTTATACACATGTTTCAATCGCACACCCACCAGCCATCTACACTTGCACTTACAACCATATCTACGTTTGCACGTAAGCACAGATCTACGGTTAATGATATACACACATCTTCGCTTGTACCCATACGTACACATTTTCACTTGTATCTACACATTTACGTTTGAATTTACAGAAGCACCCCTTCGCTTGCATTTGCACACATCTACATAGACAGCTACGCTTACATATACACACACACACACACACACACACACACACACACACACACACACACACACACACACAGATACACACTTACCTAAGCTTGTATCTACACATCTACACATTTCCACGTAAACGACTATGTTATTCTATACTAGTGGTTTCTTCTCTCGCAATTTTCGCTTGTGGAATTTAATTCTGGCTTCTTGCTTCCCAGTCAACTTTGA